TCCTGACTGAACCCAGCACAACCTGCTGGGAAAATCCCCGTCCTGGGTGGGGGGCAAACCGTGCCCTGAGGGGTGTAAACCCAGCCCAAGAGGGGCTAAATCCAGCCCTGGAGGGGGCAGATTATGCCCTTGGAGTGTAGATCCCGCATGGAGAGGGGCGCGATCCTGTAAAGCCAGGCCTGTGGGGCTGGGCCTGGGCAAAGCCTCCTCTGGGCTCCCCTGCCCCACAGGGAGGTGTCCTGTCCTGCAGCAAGGTGATCTCCTGGACCATGGTGATGTCTCTTTCCCCCACTTCCAGGCCCGTGGCAAGTTTGCCTGCCCCACAACAATCTTTCCTACCCAATAGCAGGATTCCCAGGTTTCCCACCCTGTGGTGAGCCCCTCTGGCCCATGGTGAGGTCTTCAGCCCCTTCCCCAGTGACCCCATTTGCCCCATGGCAAGTTTTTACTACACTGTGCCAATGCCTCCTACCCCACCATGAGCCCTACAGCAAGGCCTTCTGCCCCACCCCAGCAAGCTCATCTTCCCCAAAGCAGCCTCATCTGCCCCACGGAAAGCTTTTCCACGCCGTGGCAAGGTATCTCACCCCACCGTGAGTTCCACAGCAATGTCATCTCCCTGCTCTCCTCCCTTCCTCCCCCCACAATGAGCCCATCCACCCCACAGCAATTTCTTCTGTCCACAGCAACCTCCTCAGCCCTACAACAAGCTTTTTCACCTCATGGCCAGGTCTGGTACCCCACAGTGAGCCACAACAAGCTGTTCTGTCCCACAGCAAACTTGTCCACACCCCAGGAAGGTCTCTTGGCCCACAGTGATGTCTCCAGCACCATGGAGGACCCTGTGATCCGCATACACCACCACCACCCCTCCCCCCACCCCCACTACACCCATGTGCTGGGCCTCAACAACGTCACCCACTTGGAGGTTGGACCCCACACCTATATCCAGCAGGATGATGAGAGGGTGGTGCTATGGGGCAGGGGAGCATCTCTGGGTTGAGGAGGTCTGGTTCCTACATCTGTCAGGACCAAAAAAAGGTGGCTGCCTTGGGAAAGGAGGGGATCTATAGGATGGTGGGTATCACCCCTATGTCTGGCAGGACTACAAAATGGGGCAATGGGTGGATTTCTATGGCTATAGGGCGATCTAGATTTCTAGGTGTGCAGGGCCCCCACAAGGGGCTTGAGAGGATCTATAGGACTGTTGGTGCTATTTAGGCCTGTGGGGGGCTCTTTCGGACTATGAGGACTCTATGGGCCCTGAGGTGCATTGGGGTTGTATAGGACTGTGGGGGTGTTTGGGGGCTCTGTAGGGCCATAGGGACCCTACAGTGTCATGAGGATTCCATACGGTTGTAGAGGGCCACAGGAGGGCTGTGGGACTCTGTAGGACTGGGAGATTTGATGAGCTCTCGAGGCTCTGGGTGTTCTACAGGGCTGAGAGGAGCAACATGGGGACACCCGCAGGGTGGATTTCATCCCCAGGCACATGGTGATGGTGCCCCCCGGCACTACTGTGTAGTGGTCACCCCTGTGGCCTGGAGCCCTATGGGGGCCATGCTGGTCGATGGAGTGGGGCAGGCCTGTCTGCAGCACGCCGACCTTGATATCCGCCTGGCCCAGGAGCCCTACCCCCTGTACCCCGGAGAGGAGATCCAGCAGGTATCTATGGTTCCCTATAGGAGCCCCAGGGCTCCTTATAGCTCCTCCAGCCCCGCCATGATCCCCTATGGGCTACATAACCCTGCTCTGTAACCCACCACTGTAGCCTTCCACAGCTACCTATAGCCCCTATAAACTGTAAGCTCCTCTAATCCCTCTGTCATCTCTCACAGTTCCTATAGCCCAGAGCTTCCTATAGCCCCTAGTCCTGGCCTGCTATAGCTCCCAGCATGCCATCCCTGTCCCTGCCCTAAACCTGTGTAGCTCTCCCCAGGGTGTCCCTGCAGTGTCCTCTGTTCGCCCATAGCATCCCCCCATCTCCAGGCTGACACCCATATCCCCGCAGTGAAAACCTGTATCCCAGTCCTTATGGTTTCACACACACCCTCCCCCCACCCCCCCATCTCCACCACCATCACCCGTGTGTCCTGCTTACCCCCGCAGCCATGACCCCACAGCCCCATGGTGACCCTCCAGATGCATCCCCATGTCCCCCATGTCTCCTGCCATGCCTCCTGCATCCCCAGTGTCCCCTGTGCTCCTCAACCTCACATCCTCCACACCTCTGCTGTGACACCCATGTTCCCAGGGGGTTCACCCTCAACCCTAGCATCATTATGTCCCCAGGGCATCACCCCACTGCAGGCGGTTCTGGCTGATGCTGCCCTGCACCTGCGGGCCCTGCTTGACTTCAAGGATGAGCATGGGAACAAGTTCATGGCAGGAGACAAGTGGCTCTTGGAGGGTCCTGGTGAGCACTGGAGGCACCTCCCTTTGGAGACACCCTGGGGGACCCATGGGCTGATGGTGACACCTGCCTGCAGGCATCTGCATTCCCCACAAGGAGGTGGAGGTGGCCAAGACGCTGCAGGCCACTGTCATTGGGCACAACCAGCCCATCTGCCTGCGAGCATGTGAGGAGTGCCTGGACTGCGACGGCACCTGCCACATCACAGGCAGCACCCGGTGATGGCCTCCCAGGTTCAACCCTCACTCAGTGGCCTTGGTGTCAGATGGCACAACCTCACCCTGTGCCATTGGTGCTACCCCTCAGCATCCATCAGACCCCTTTGCTGCCTGAAGGCACTCCTGGGACACCCTGTGCCTCCCCCACCCTGTATCCCTGGGACCTTTTTCTTACTCTCCAGCGCCTCCGAGACCCTTGTGTCACACTTCAGCACCCATGTGAGCTTCATGTCCTCTGACAGCACCCCTATCCAATCTCCAGGGACTCTGGGACACCCAGAACCACCTTCCTACCCCATAGCATCTCCAGGACCCCTGTTCCATCCCTCAGTGCCCCTGGGATCCCCAGCACTCCCATCCCATCCCCCCAAATCCCATCCTGCCCCACAGCACCACTGGGACCCCATCTTACCCCATCGCACACGTGGAACTCTCAGAACCACCAATACCTCCAGGACTCCCATCCCAGCACCCTTAGGACCTCCCAGCACCCTTAGCACTGCCATCCCACATTGCTCCCAGCACCCTTAGGATGCTCGAGATCCTTAGGACCCTCAGCACCCCCAGGACTTCCGTGGCAACCCAGGCTGCATATTCCCCAGCACCCTCATGATGCTCATCCCAGCCGAGCACTCCTGGGATTCCTGGTCCCTCACCCCCCACAAGCACCCTAGCGTCCTTGGCACCCCCAGCACCCGTCACCTTGCTCCTAGGTGAGGAGTGGCTGATGAAACAGGTGGATGCCTACCCTGCCTGGTGTCTCTGATGGTGGTGGATGTTGTGGATGCCCACATCCTCCCTGACAAGGTACTGGGCATCCTAACCCTTGCCTCCTCAATGCCCACAGCTGAGGAGGACTTTCTGGGCTGGGTTTGGGGGTCCTGTGGCCCTATTCCCCTAAACCCATGGGTGACTGGAACCCTCCAGGTTGGGTGAAGGGCCCCATCACCACCTGATCCACCACAACCCTGACCCCTTGCACCCATGGGTGATGAGGACCGCCCAAGGTGGCTTCCAAGCCACCATGTTCCCATGGCCCCTAAACCTATGAGTGACCAGGACACTTGACCTATGGTGTGTGGTTCCCCCTGCGGGTGATGAAAACCCTCCTGTCCCGACGCAGGTCACCATCACCCCCTGGGATAGGTTTGGGGGTGCTGCGCCCCTGCACCCATGGAGGACAAGGATGCCCAGATGGGCATGTCAGTTCTCTTGCACTCAGGGGTGACAAGAGTTTGGGAGTCCCTTGTCCCCATTCCCCTGCACCCACAGGTGATGAGGACCCTCCAGGATGGATGTAGGGTACCATCATTCCCTGCTCCTCCCCACCTCTGTCCCTTCAGAGAGTCCCATCTTCTCTGTTCCCCATTCACCATTTCCCCATCCTTACTGCACCCAGGGGTGACAAGGACCCTCCAAGGGGTTGTGCCTCCTCCACCCACCCCATCCCTCTCCCTTTGCGTCCACAGGTGATGGGGTCCCTCAGGGGTAGGTTTGGGGGTCCCGTCACACTCTGCACCTGTGGGTGACAAAGCCTGTTGGGGTCAGCTTTGCATGTCCCTATGTGTCCTTCCCCTGCAGAAAGCCCTGCATCTGCGGGCAACGCGGAGCTTTGAGGACGAGCAGGGCCGGGTGTGGCACACAGGCGAGGAGCAGCTGGTGACCCTGCAATTTTCCTCCCCGTCACAATGGGGGAGAGGGGAGATGAGAGAGCAGCTCTGTGGTACTTAATCTCTGGCTAGGGTTAAGCCATGACAGAAGAGGTAAAAAAAAAAAAAAAAAGACACTAGTCAACTACAGCTGGAGACAGGAGTGACAATATGTGAGGAACAACTCTGCAGACACCAAGGTCAGTAGCGAAGGAGGGGGAAGAGGTGCTCCAGGCACCAGAGCTGAGACTCCCCAGCTGCCCATGGTACAGCCCATGGTGAGGACCCCATGCCCGAGCAGGGGGATGCCTGAAGGAGGCTGTGATCCCCTGGGCAGCCCACTCTGGAGCAGGTTCCTGGCAGGATTTGTGACCCCACGGGGGCCCAGGCTGGAGCAGGCTGCTGCTCAGGAACTGCACCCAATGGAAGGGACCATGCCGGAGCAGTTGGTGAAGAACTGCAGCCCACGGGAAAGACTCAGAGAATCTGGTGAAGAACTGTCTCCTGTGGGAGAGACCCCACGCTGTAGCAGGGGCAGAGTGTGAGGACGAAGGAGCATCAGAGACAAAGTGTTATGACACCCACTCCCTGTACCACTGCACTGCTCATCAGGGAGGAGGTAGAAGAGTCAAGCTGAGCTTGGGAAGAAGGGACAGATCAGGGGAAGGTGTTTTGAGATTTGTTCTTCTTTCTCACTATCCTACCATTACAATTAAGTGCAATAAATTAAATTAATTTCCCTCCCCATTGTGTCTGTTTTGCCCATAACTCTAATTGTAAGCGATGTGCCTGTCCTGTTAATGGAGGGTGATCCAAACACCAGCTGCATGTCTTTACAAAAGTTGTCTCTGCAGACCCAGAGTTAAGATAAGAGTAAACAAAGAGCAGCTGGTGCAGACTCAAGATTAAGAGGAAGGAAAGAAGAAACCATCAGCACTGAGCTGACCAAGACATCTGCAAGAACTGGCTAAAACCGGCCGAGGTTGAGGACAGTGCCAACCGTTCAAACTTCTAAGCTTTTAGCTTTAGTGTGCTTGCTTAATTAGCTAATGCATATTAACTTCTCTGCCCTGGGTGGCATAAAAGTAATGTTAATGATACAGACGATGTATGACGTGAGTGTATGACATGGCTGTCTCAGGCAGATGGGGAAGTCTGTACACTTGGGAGTACCTCAGCCAATGGGGATATGAGGAGAGTCTCTCGCAGCCAGGCAAGTAGGACAAAAGGGGGCTGTGTCCCCCTGTAGGTTGAGAGACCCCACAGGGATACGTCTCAGGGACTGTCCCTCTATTCCAATAAAGTTTTTACAGGACTCCTCTGTCTCCTTTGTGAACACTGACTCCTGTTAGCATGATTTTCTGTACAAGGGGGAGCGAGAGCAGCTTGGGGAGCATCTGGCAGCCAGCAAAATTCAACCCACCACAATGTGCTTCTATGCATGTTTGAGGGCACACTGCATCAGTGCTTCGTGTATCAGCATACATCAACACCACAAAACTCTTTCAATCAAGAAAGATTTCAACTAGACAATGTTTTGTCTCTTAAATTCATTGAAGAGCCCTGCATTAAAAACTTCCCCAAGCTGAAGCCAGCATTTACACAACATTTTGTGGGCAGTGGCCATTTCACAGCTACTCACCTTCCCAAAAGAAGTCCTACAGGAAATGCAGTTGGTTGCAGGTACTTGGGAGACGCCCAAAAGCACTGCTCCCACCATTCTGGTTCCAAAGGGGCATGTACTGGCACCACCCTGAGCATCACTAGTCAGACACAGCTTTAGAAACTCAGGCATCAGGAACTTCAGCATCACTGCAGAGCTAAGGATGGAAACAGAAGCTGCTGATTTCGCGGCCAACATTGACACTTCCACCTGCAGAGTCCTGAAACTGGTGGCAGACCATCTCTGCTTCTCAAACAGAAATCCAAACGTATGGCAAGAAAAGCAGAAACAAAAGGAACACCCCTTTGCCCTCACCCTTCCTTTCTTATGGGCACAAATCCAAAGCCTGACTGTAGCAACCCAGCTGTCTCAACATAACTGCAAAGAAGTGTCTTTGGAATAAAACACGTCCCTCGGGACTTAAGCACATTCATACAAGATAACAGAATAGGTAGGGTTTTTTCCCCCCACAGATCTTCTTTTAACAGTCACATCTAGAGCTATGCAATTTTGTGTTCTTGAGTTACTGATTATTCTTTTGCAAGTTCTCACACAGCACCTTGTGAAACATGTTGCTGGGATGGGTAGCTACACTACAGCACTGAAGACCAAGTACTGAGACAATGTCAGGATCCTTCCACAGGAATATTTGCACGGGGAAAAAGAAATTGCAATAGTGCAAATTCCTGGAAGCCTTTAATAATAAAACTATTACGTGAAGACTAGACCAGCAGGTTAATTATGGCAATATTTCTAAATACGCAAGCTTAGAAATACCTTATCATGAAATACCTTCAACTAAATAGAGGCAGACCATAGCAATGTATGCTGCACCACAGTGACACCAGTCTTTTAAACACCCACATTGGGCAACTAATTTCTTTCACACTGCATTTAGAAAAAAAAGTGATTCTTTGCTTAATAAACTGTGCCAACCCTTTACAAACACAGCATCCTTAAAAATTCTGATGCAAAAAAGCATGAATATTCTGAAGTTTTTCCTTGTACACATACTTCCTCTCCTCTAACCCATAAATCTTAGGAGGAGATCGTTGTCATGCAGCATCACACACAGAGTAATCTCCAGGTTGTCTCATTCTGTCCTCAACCAGGGATTCTGAAGAGGATTTTGGTTTTGTCTACATAAGATGGAAAAAATGTGGCAAATCCCTATAGACTGAGTGATTCTCTTGACAAAAAGCAGCAGCACTTGCAAAGGTAACCTGGAACTAGAAAAAAAATCAATTTTTTAGAAGTTTCTCTTTATGGATAAGGAGCATGTGACCAGCAAACTCAGACCCTTGCACACAAAGCCTACTGCAACTTTTTTGGGTTTTTTAAGACTTGAAAAAGGAATTAATTCCAGGCTTTGCACAGAGAACTTATTAGGCAACTGGGCAGCCAAGTAATTTTATTGACCTGTGCCTTTAGAGAAATAAAGACTTAAAAAAAATTGTTAGAAAAACTTGAGCATGTAAATACACATTCTCTCTCTGAAATTCCCAACAGGGTATACCAAAACGTATTCTGTTCAGGTCTCTCTTACTCACCACTAACATGAACGGGTTGGAGAAAACTAACCTGCCTGTTTTTAAAACTGTTTCAGAAAAAAATCCAAAGACCCATACATTTAGATACAGATGAGACAGGTTTCTACACCTTACACACAACCAAAAGAACATGCTACACTGAGGTTATTAGAACAAGCATGTTCTATACTATCTACAGGGTGACAAAGGCCATGGTGAAGCTATTCATTTACTAATGTAATGTCAACAGATTTCAGACAAGAACATGCTAATGGTTTCAGAGAGACTTGTGGCCTACGTCGACTTCAGCAAAGCTTTTGACATGGTCTCCCATGGCATCCTCATAGCCAAGCCCAGGAAGTGCGGACTGGACTGCTGGGTGGTGAGGTGGGTCGGGAACTGATTTAAGGAAAGAGCTCAGAGAGTTGTGGCCAATAGTGCAGTCTAGTTGGAGGCAGGTGGCTAGTGGTGTCCC